CTGTGGGGCCGGGATCACCCCAGGAAGGGGGAGCTGAGAGCAGGAGGGGGCCGGGCTGGGGGTCCGGGACACCCCCGAGCCGGGGATGCTGCGCGGGTTCTTGTTCACTCTTTTCTTACCTGTCTCCCCGAAGCTGTCATCGTCCCCCTCCTCGCCCCGCCCGACGTTTCCCGCAGGCCCGTGCGGCTCCCCGTTTGGCCCCGACATGCCGCCGCCGCGCCCCTCCCGAGTCCCGCTGCCAGACAGGACCCCGGTCGCGGCCGGACTCCGAGACGCCGGAAAGCTCCGCCCCTTCCCCGGATGGAAGCGGCGGAAGGTCCCGCCCCCTGACCCGGAAAGGGGCGGGGCTTGGGTTGACCTAGCCATTCGCACACTTCAGCCGGGATCCTAGGAAGAGGGGGGTGGATCATCTCCTTCCTAGCCCCGCCCTGCTCCAGGGTAAAGTCTATAGTTATGGGAAGAGAGGGGCTGCCCAAGCAGCGCGGGCGGGAGGCAGGCAAGCAAATAGACTTTATAGTTGCAGTGGGGGGTGGGTGTCTGCCTACAGGGATGCGGGATCGCACCCCCAACCTACCTGGGCTCTTATGTTCCTCCCTCTTTGTGTTCACTCTCTGCAGTCATCGCAGAGGGGTTTGCTAGCAGGATTTTACATGGGTGCAAAACATATTCAGCCAACTGAGGAGAGTATCTGCAGAAACCAAGTGTGACCTTGGGAGTATGAAGGTTCACAGCCAAGCTGGCTCTAAGAGCCACAATCATCCAGTCAGAGTTTAGGCCTGTGTGTCCCCCTCAAAACCAAGCACTACAGCTTGATTTTGGCTGACAGATGCTTGAGAAAAATCTGCTGATCAGAAGTTATTCACAGAAATGATCCAGCAAATAAATTCCAATCAATAAAGTGAACTAATCTATCAGCTACTCACAGACCAATTTGGGAACAGAAAATGTGTTGAATAAATTATTCACATAGATTTGCTTTGCTATCCCCCTCTACAGTGGTTTTCTCTTAAACCTTTTTCTATCCATACTAATTATCTCAGTTTATTACATGTATATTTAGTCTTCGTAGATTGTTCAGTGACATATGTTTATGGGATGTTCTCAGGAGATATGTTCACCTGTATAGAGCTTTTATTTCTGGAGCTCTTAAAGTGCTTTGTAAACATGCATTATTAGCTCCTGTGAGGTAATTTTACAGATGGTCAGACAGGATGATGGCTGGTTAAGTAAATTGCCCAGAATCACACATTGAGTCAGTGACACAGACAGGACTAAACCCCAGAATTCTTGACACCCAGACTTCTGCTTTTGCCACTAGAGCACAGTCCCTTCCTGTTTTCGTCTATCCAGTTTTAGTTAATGGCTTGTTTAATTTATCTTAATTGTACTTAACAGAATAAAGTTTGTTTCAACTGTTTTTGATTTTTCCACTTAATAATTGTAACCTCAGTAGGTCACTTTCAAATCTCCTCTTTCCTTAGGACAGTGAGCACAATTCTCTCTGCCTTGCTTTATAACTAAGATTTCTTTTTTTAGACTTGATATTAGTCATATGCTTCACCTGTCCTGGGAAATCAGATCATTCTATCATTTATTTTATAGGATATATCTTTAGAGATGAAAATAACTTGCAATTAGGGCATCAGTGTGTCCCTGGGCAAAGACTGATTTGAGGAGTTTTTGAATTCTAATTGAGATGGAATTTTCAATGTACAAGGAATGAAGGATCGTATCCTTAACATCACAGTACATTCTGTATCTTTCCTTAGTATAACCTGACTACATTCTGCTGGGTTAGGGCCCCATCCTATGTCCTAACACTCATACAAATAATAGTATGGGCATAACCAAGCATAAATGACAAAAGTTAATTGCCCTGAAGCATGAGGTTTTATGTCTTCCTATTGCTTTGTGGAATACAATTTCATAATTAAGTAGGCTTATGTAATTAATGTCAGTAAAGCTCTTTGAGATTCTTGCATAAGAGGCGCTATAGAAGTGGAAACTATTGCTATTATTTTTATTCCTATTTTATGTTTTAACATCTTTATGAAGTGCTGAGGTTTAATTATCCATCATGGCAAAAGCCAGATAACTATCAATCTGGCTTTGCTAGTATGACACTTACTAGATACTCTGAATATTTTGTCCTTGCCTTTCACCCTGTGATTCTAAAGCAACTTACAAAGATGGAATTTTAATTGTAATTATTTATTGATTTGGAATTTTACCATCAAATCATGGACTATTTGAGATTGTACTTAATCATCTAGCGCTGGTCCCAAGTATTGCATTCAATATTCACACTACATATTGTGAGCAAAATTAATCCTTAGTGTAATTTGCATGAGGGATGGAATTGGGCCCACTATGTATTGTAGTTGAGAGGAATGAGCTCTAATATCTGGAAAAATAACTGGCCAGACTGAACTCTTTGAATGAGCTGATTAGTGGTTTGGAGTTTTTGCTAATGATTCAGCAAATGCTGTGATTTAAATAATATTTTAAATGATCTAATCCAGGGGTTCCCAAACTGTTGGCTGAAGAACACTTGCTGATGATTTTCAAACATCTGATTGGTCACATGGTGCTGGCTCTCCTTGTTTCCAACTGCTACTACAGATGTCCACACTCTTCACTACAATTAAAAGCCACCTGTAAATGAAACTGGAAACAAGGAAGAAACATTAGCCTAGCCACTTCTGCTGGGAGCAACTATTACATAAATAGAGAATGAGAGGAAATGAGCACTACCTTTCAGGGACTGGAGACATCAGTGGGATTAGAGTTGCAATCCATATGGCAGCTAGGTAATATTTTCAGGAGAGCTAGGTGAAGAAAGGGAGGGAGGGAGAGATAGCTCAGTGGTTTGAGCATTGGCCTGCTAAACCCAGGGTTGTGAGTTCAATCCTTGAGGGGGCCACTTAGGGATCTGGGGCAAAAATCAGTACTTGGTCCTGCTAGTGAAGGCAGGGGGCTGGACTCAATGACCTTTCAAGGTCCCTTCCAGTTCTAGGAGATGGGATATCTCCATTTATTTATTATTTATTTAAAAGAAGTTGGTGGCCGGGTAGCATAGTCAGGGAGCAGGGAACCAACTGTTAGGGAACCCCATGCAGAGGGAAAGAAAAGGGTCTAGACAGCAGAGGAGAATGTGTCAGTGAGAGAGATGAATAAAAAACATGGGAGGAGCCGATAAAATTAAGAGTAAAAGCAGGTGGTGGGTTTGATTCTTTGTTTTCAAAAGGAAAAAAACAATTGCATCAGACAGTTAAACATCCACTGATACTTTCCAGATATGACTTTTCCATAAGCAATTGCCCTAGTCCCTGCAGAGATTGTACGTTATAATAAATGGGAGAGGAGGTTGTCCACACTATGAGCAATAGGAAAGGAGGTGTTCATGAGACTCTCTCTGTGTTAAAGTATATTCCACACTATGAAAATGTTTGAGAGCCCCTGATCCAACCTAGCAGGATTTTATAGCACTTGTCATCCTCGCATGGGTTATTACATTAAATGTTACATTCACTGCTACAGTGTGATTATTTGTTCAGCTTACCTGTGCCATTTATAACCATTTCCAATCAGGGTAGTTCTTGGGTCCCATTATTGGAGGGGCAAATGGGTATTTTGGGGCCCTTGAATATCGCTATTTACGAAACAACCTTCCAGGAGTAATTAGACCCTTAGAAATACTTGGACCCTTCAAAATAAATGGTGGCTACTGAGTCAGTATTTTTCTATGATTCTATAAGTGATCTAACAAATGAAATCTCTCCAATCTGCTCATTGCTTAACATTGTACAGTATAACTTTGTACATATTTTGGCTTTTCGGACAATGATGGTGGGGGCTTGGAAATCATTTGGGGAGACAAATGTTCTCTCCCTTATGCAATACTGCATCTGGGAAGAAATGATGGCACAGCAAACCAACCAACCAATCAATCCAAAAACAAGCCCAGCAGAGGCGCTCTATCCTTAGGGCCTCCTCTGCTCTGGTTTAAAGCCTCTGGTGCTTGGTGTAGAGGCCCGCCCTCCCTGTTTTTCTCCTCCACTCCCCCCTCGTGGAGCGAAGATGGCAGCAGCCTGCCGTGGCTGGAGGTGCCTGGGGCAGCTCCCGTGGAGACTGAGGGCTGCTGGCCAGGCGGCTGGGATGGGGCTCCTGCGGGCCCAGAGCAGGGGGTACTGTATCCCCTTTGGGACAGGACGCTATGCACGGGCCCGGGCGCTGAAGGGCAGCCGCATGCTGGTGGGGGCTGCTTTTGCCCTGGGGGGCACCTTTGGCCTCTTCCAGACTCTCCAGTATCCCCTGAAGGCCCAGGAGCACCTTGCAGAGCAGCAGGCAGACAAGGTAACCTCCCGCCTCCCCCCTGGTAGGAATCCTGCTGGAAATCCAGGAGCCCCTGGCAGTCCCTAAGGACACCGGGCCCCATGGTGTTTTCCCATCCCCCGCTTACAAATGATTCTGAAACGATACTCCTTCCCGTGCAATCTGGTTTTGATCCTGCCTCCCAAATAGCTTCCATTTTTGGGGTGCACACAGCTCTTGGCTCCCATCCTTCATGACATCTTAAGGGGGTGGCATGGCAGGGAGAACCTTTGAAAATGGTTTCTTCCTTACCCCGTCACAGATTTCTTCTCCTATATGACATTTCTATTTTTGTTCATTTTCAGATAGTATTTTTCCCTCTAATGTCCTGCAGCTGATTCTCCAGATTAAAAGGCTATAATGGTCTCAAATGATCTGTGGCTGCTTTTTCTATTTACTGTCTCTGCAAATCCTTTTGTAGCTTTCCCTGGATAGACTAATTGCTACTTTAAAAACAATCAGCTAATGTTTTCCATGCCTATGGATGAATGACATGCTAAGTGATATAGAATATACAAGTGATGCCATCAGGTTACAATAGCCTAAACAAATAATGCCTACTAATTTTACTAATAACTCTTGTGTATTAAAACTAAACACTTACAGACCCTGATCCTGCAAGACATACACACATACCTAACTTTAGTCAGTAGAAAGAAAATAGTCTTGTTAGTTTCAATTTTGTTTTTCGTCTGGTCACTTTCTGGTTCTCCTACACTAGCATAATGTTGCAGTATTTGGGGGTGGCAAACCCTTCAAGAAAAGGTTTAAATACACAAAGCAGACTTTTTCTATTGATCGAAACACACACATCCTTAATATTATATGTTGTTAGGAAACAACATTTTAAAGTATTAAAATCTAGCCCTAAACTACCCAATATTATCCTCTTTGAGTAACTATAAAAATTGCTTTTA